ACCATATGTTACATGACCAAAGGCATGCAATGGCAGAACCATACTCTAGCTCTGGGATCTAAACTCTGTTCTTTAGCAAGTCAAGGCAGATGTCCCTGTGCGCTCTCTCTCTCTCTCTCTCTCTCTCTCTCTCTCTCTCTCTCTCTCTCTCTCTCTCTCTCTCTCTAGATTTGTTTATTTATTACGTATACAGTGTTCTGCCTGGATGTATGCCTACAGGCCAGAAGAGGATACCAGATCTCATTACTGATGGTTGTGAGCCACCTTGTGGTTGCTGGAATTAAACTCAGAACCTCTGGAAAAGGAGCCAATGCTCTTAACCTCTGAGCCATCTCTCCAGCCACCCCTGCTCTCATCTTCAGTTTCTCCTAAGAAATACAAGGTCTTAGCCAGGAAGTGGTGGTGTACGCCTTTAATCCTAGCACTTGGGAGGCAGAGGCAGGCAGATCTCTGTGAGTTCGAGGCCAGCCTGATCTACGAAGCAAGTGCCAGGAGAGGCTCCAAAGTGCCAGGAGAGGCTACACTGAGAAGAAACCCTGTCTGGAAAAAAACAAACAAACAAAAGACAAAAACCAAAAAACAAGGTCTTTCCATTTCCCAGTCTTCAAGAAGGAAAGAAAGGCAACTCCAAACATTGCTCTTTATTTCTATCCTAACCCATCACTGGGAACAGAAGTGGGAATCAGGGACCTATCATCACATCCTAGGTGTGCCCTCTACTCACCATGAGGTTGTCTTCAGCCCAAAGAGATGGTCAGCTACTGCAGTGATGAGATGTTGCCCTAAGCAAGAACAAGAGACAGGAGCAAATTGAGAAGCCCAGTCCCTCGTCCCCATAACAACATAATCTCAGAAATTCCCACTGAAGGCCTGGCAAGCGTTTTAGATACTTTACTAGGACACAACCAGGGGCTGGGGGTCTAGCTCAGTGCTCATCTAGTGAGTGTGAGGCCCTAAGTCGATTTCTACCATTGAAAAGGCGGGGGAAGAGAGAGAAAGAAAGAGAGATCACCATGACAATTCTCCTGGCAGCTTCACAATGCTATTTCACAATTGGCCAAGGCACAGCAGCTCCTCCGAGACACCTGACAAAGGCTTACTGAACACCTACCTCATGCAGAATGCAGGGCTGGGTGTCAGAGAGGCAGCTGCACCCCTGACTGATGAGAGGGGAGAAGACGAGAAGAAAAGGAAGAGGAAGAATTAACCAGGACACATAAAAAACAGTCAAAGCCTCGAGGAGGAAGGAGGCAGGATCTGTGCCAGTGACATGTTCAAAATGATGGGTGCGGTGGGTGCAGGCAGCAAGCTATGGCAAGGCCCCGATGACGCTGGAGCACACACTGGAGCAGTGTACGAGGAATGCAGGCCCTCGTAAGGAGAGTGGCTTTCCACACAGAACTACAGGGAGATTTCTAAGAGCAATCGAGTGAGATGATCCGATTTCCTTTTTTTGAAGGACTGCTCTGAGGCTCAGGACATAGCTCTGTGACAGAGAGTGTGGCAAGCACAAGCAGGGCCCTGGGTTCAATCTCCAGCACAGCAAGAAAATAAAAGATTTCTCTATGGCATGAGGCTCTGGTTTTAATCCTTAATGGGAGGAAAGGAAGGCTGTTTGGGCTGTTGTACAGAAACAGAGGAGCAAGGAGCAAGATTGGATATGAGGAAATCAGCCAGAGGTCCACAGGGAGGATGGTGAGGGCTGGGACTAGGATGACTGTGGGGATTGAAGGAGAAAGATAACTGAGGATAAGTCAAGAGTCACTGTCTCCAAAGAGCCCAAGGAGATGATGATGGCCTTTCCATTTCATTTTGGAACATTATGAATCTGAAAACCCACAAGACATCCAGATAAAGACATCAAGCGGGAATATTCCTAACCAGCAGTAACTGAATGGGCACAGTGGCTCATGCCTGTATTGCAGTATTTAAGAGGTAAGTGGTCAGCCTGATCTACATACTAAGTTTTAGGCTAACCAAGGTTACATAGGAAAACCTTGTCCCCAAAAAAAAAAAAACAAGAAAGGGCTGGCAAGATGGCTCAATGAGTAAGGTGTTGCCAGTGGCCCTGAGATCGACCCCCAGGACCCATATGATTGAAAGAGAGAACTGATTCCCCTAAATTGTCCTCTGACCTCAACAGGCATAGTGTGACAGGTGCATACCTCCTCCCTCAAAAGATATATATATATATATATATATAGAGAGAGAGAGAGAGAGATAGACAGATAGATAGATAGATAGATAGATAGATAGATAGATAGATAGATATAGATATATTTAAAACAGAGAAAAAGCCAGGCAGTGGTGGTGCACGCCTATAATCCCAGTACTCAGAAGGCAGAGGCAGGCAGATTTCTGTGAGTTGGAGGCCAGCCTGGTCTACGGAGTGAGTTCCAGGACAGCCAAAACTGTTATACAAAGAAACCCTGTTGGCCGGGCGTTAGTGGTGCACGATTTTAATCCCAGCACTTGGGGAGGCAGAGGCAGGTAGATCTCTATGAGTTCAAGGGCAGCCTGGTCTCCATAGTGAGTGCCAGGTTAGGCTCCAAAGCTACACAGAGAAACCCTTGAAAAACAAAAACAAAAACAAAAACAAAAAATGGAGAAAAACAGGCCAATAGTTCTTAGAACTTTAATGTCCATGTTGTTTTCACACTTACCATATACTGCCTGAATCCAAGCTGGTTCTAAGTATATCCATCCCTTCTAAAAGGCCATCTCCTACAGAACTAAACCACTTCCCTCACTATGACACTGCTGCTCACAGCACGTCTCCCTGTATGTCCCCATCCTGTGGCCTTACCTGAATGCTGCTGCATGTGGTCAAATCGCCTCTCCCAGTCCACTCGGACCTGGACCTGGCTCCCAGGTGACAGAGGTGTCTGTGTGAAGTGGTCAGCCTGGGCCCCACGACGGGTCACTCTCAGCACAGAAATGTCATCGATGGTACCACGGTCGTCAGGCTGGTGGGGGAAAGGCAATCAATACTACGGCAGGTCTCACCCTACCAAGATGCAAAGACACTCTAAGGGGGGAAGCTCTCAGAGAGGCAGTCCCAGACACTGAGCTTCCTAGGGGAAGAGGAGACAATGCCAAGTGAGGTGGCCCACTTTGTTCTAAGACAGGGTTTCCTGTCCTCTTTTGGAACACCTGTATGTGTTGTCCTTTAGGGCAGAATAGCAGAATTAAAACAAAAAGAAGTACAGTATCGAAAATTCTAGAAAAACCCACAGACCCTTAATCCTCATTGTTGTCCCCTGAGATTATCTTTAATAGCCTCTAAAGGACCTGAAAGCTCCTGCCTTTAACCATTCAGTCCCAGCACCGATGCCAGAGTTAGATTCAATAATATTCATCACTTAGAAAAGTACCAAGTGCCAGCCGCTTATGAGGCACTGTGCCAACCAAATAACTCAGTGGAAATAAGACATAGATCACGCCACAGAAACTAAATCTAAAGAGACCCAATAGTTTTGAGGAATCTGGGAAGACTGAAGGAAGTGATGTAATATGACAGTTTCAGGGCTGATAAGATGGCTCAGAGGTTAAAGACACTTGCTACCAAGTCTGAAAATGGGAGTTTGATCCCTGGGACCTGAGAAGGAAGAGATAACCAACCCCGAGGCCCTCTGAACTAGCCTCAATCACTTTCCAGGGCTATCTCCAACCTGTTCTCAACATGAACCACAGGCTCTGGTACGACTGCACTATTTTATTTACAGTCAGATTTAGTGGATTCTGTCAGGTTGCCCTACCCTTGCTTATGCTATCAACCTGGCTAGCTCTTATGATACCCCTTGTGGTATCCCTATCTCCTTTTTGTACAACACTGTAGTCAGGCTCTCCATCAGGCTCTGAAGGCCATTCCCCTCTTCTGAACTCTCCCCACATCTTTCTCAGGCCCTGTAAAATACTCTGCATTAATTACTACCTCAGGGCCTGAATTATTCTGTCGGCCTGAAATCTTTCTCTTGCCCCAGAGCCACTAAACAGCTACAGTGGCTCACCCCTTCGGTTCAGAGACATCTGTACCAAGTAGTCTACCGCCACGCTTTCCCTTTACCCAGCGTTATTTCTAGTGACGTTATTATTACACCTAGCATACAAAATTGTCTGCAGTGAGCATCCCATGCACTCAGAGGCACTGTCTTGCTCACCCTTTATCTTCAGCGCCTGGAATGTGACACGCGTGTGTCACAACCACATAAGCATTTGCTGAGTGGAGGCAATGAAGTGATCAATCCGTGCGCTTTATTGAGGCTAAGAAGGGGCGAACGCGTTTTCTGCAGGAGCTAATAGGAATGTGGGGGTCCCTGGGAGGGGGTCAGGCTGAGGCTGCTCCTGGTACCTGGCCCCCGCCCTCGGGGAAAAGCGGCGTATCTTCCAGAACCACATGGAAACCGCTCAGCACTTCTTTTTTGCCGCCGCTCGCGTCCGTCTGCAGCTCGGCCGGGCTGCAGGAGACCACGGTGGTGGTGAACTGGGGAGAGAGAGGGAGGCGAGTGTGAGCCTTCTTGGGCCGAGACTGCAGCCTGCCCTCGCCCTCCCTCCCGGGGGCACTCTCGGTCTCGGGACCCTCGCCCTGCAGGCCGCACCTCCCGTGCGTAGCTATCGCGCTGACACAGGAACGCCATAGCGGTCTCCTAGGCCCCTGGAGACTCTCTTGCGTGCGCAGAAATGCCGGGCGCGGGACGGAAAGCGACCTGGGACAAACTGTCTTGTTTCTGCGCAAACGTGAAAACGTAAAGGGGCGGGGTTTGGTTAAATTTGCTGAAACTGATAATTGCAGGTGTTCTCTGTTGTTGTTTTTTTTTTTTTTTTTTTTTTTTTTTTTTTTTTTTTCTCTTTTCCAGACTCTCTGTTGTTTTGTTACTGTTTTAAGACTGGAACGAAATTCACAACTCGATCCGAACTTTCTTCAACTAGCTCTTGGGGCCGTGTAATTTGGACTTCGGGGGTGGAAATAAGAGGGATTGGACAGAAACAAGCAAGGCATGTATGTTCATATTTTATTTAAAGCCAACATCCAGCCGGGCGGTGGTGGCTCGCGCCTTTAAACCAACATCCATAATATTTCATCGTGTAACTGTTTTTTTAATTATAGGGGAGAAATTTAACACACAAACCTCATAAATCTATGATTTATGATAATTTGGATTTTTAAAAACATTTTATTTTTATTCGTGTGTCACAGAGATGTACAGGAAGCTAAGGGTCTAGGGGTGACAGGGATCTATCTGGGTGAGATGAAATCCCCTGGCTTGAATATGAGCCTGCCCAGCAACAGCTTCCCACTGCAAAAGGGGCCAGAATCTCTGGCTTCCCAGAGAGATGGAAAAGTAAAAGAAGGAAAGAGATGGCATCACTCCTAGAATTTATTGTAATCTCTTTCTTCTTTGGCCTTTTCTTTACCATATATATATACATGTGTCAAAAAACAAAAACAAAAACAAAAAAACAACCAAGCCCCAGCATCCCAAGCACAGATTCTTACTCAAATCAATAGGAAGTCAGAAGCCCCAGCAGACAACCCCTCTGATGCAGGACCACACTGGAGAGACCAGGAGGAAGACCTACTGTGTGAAGAGGGACCCTTAAGAAAGAGCTTCTGGCTGGGCAGTGGTGGTGCTCACCTTTAATCCCAGCACTCAGGAAGCTGGGGCAGGTGGATCTCTGTGAATTTGAGGACAACCTGGTCTACAGATTGTCCTGAGTTCCAGGACAGCCAGGACTACATACTGAGATCCTGTCTTGAAAAAACAAGAAAGAAAAAAGGAAAGAAATAAAGAAAGCAAGCTTCTGGAAAAGGTCAGAGGTTTCAGTGAGTCCTGATGTATGACAAAATATTCGATGAAGGACCATCACAGCTTTTTCCACAGAACAGAAGGTAGCTACAAGCCTTCTTCTCCCCAGCTCTAGCCATCACAGAAAGCTAATTAGTTGTTGCATCCTCATTGTCAGACTCATCCTGAAAAGGGAAGACAAAGCGCCTGTCATTGACCTTCAATGATGCTGCCCACCCACCCCATCCCCCAGCCCTACTCTGCTAAAATCCTAAGTCACATATCTTAGGAAGCTAAGACCAAAGGAGTCTAACTGTGGGTAATGAGCTGAACCACCAGGAGTTTCAAGTGGTGTTATTGCTCCTTCAGGTGGCAAAGACACTCATCAGAGCCAGGTTTGTTCTAGGAGGAGGAAGGGGGAGGCTTAAAGAACACTCAACCTCATGTGTCAGATTCAGACTTGGTTAACCTGCAGAGAACTACTGTGTGCTAGGGAATGGAATACACATTCCTACATATCTGTGGTTTTGTTCTTCTATTCCTTTTTGGAGGATGGACCCCATGCATGGTGGGAAGGCACTCTTCCACTGTGCTGTTTCCAGCTCTAATGTGCTCTCTCTAAAGGCTGGAAGATCTAGGGAAGGTGTTACTTACATCCAGATCATCCATGGCAGGAGGAGGTCTCTTAGTGCTGACCTTGTTCAAAAGCTAATGGGAAGAGAGAAACAGTCACAGAGATGAGGGGTGAGGGAAGAGAAGTCTGGATATTAGTAGAGACAGGAGAATGGCCCCAGACCCAGCCATTAATTGGAGAGAAGTCAATTGATACTTTTTTTTTTTTTGTCACCATAGCGAGAAGGACGGAAGGACACTGGGGAGTGATGTACAGATTGACACTGTGGAGAAAATGAAAGATGGACACTGGGAAGAGACAGACTGACAGACAGCTGGGACAGAGTGAAAGACAGAGGGACACTGGGGAGAGAAGAACAGATGGACCAGCACTCGGGAGGCAGAGACAGGCGGACCTCTGGAGTTCGAGAGTTCTCTGGATCTTGGAAGTTCGAGACCAGCCTGGTTTACAAGAGCTAGTTACAGGACAGCCTCCAAAGCCACAGAGAAACCCTGTCTCAAAAAAAAAAAAAAAAAAAAAGAAAAGAAAAGAAAAACAGAACAAAACAAATAAATAAAGTGGTATGGTATTACAGGCCTATAACCCTGGCACTCAGTCTGAGGCAAGAGGATCAAAAGTTCAAGATTAGCTTCAGCTACATAAGGAGACCCTGCTGGGCCAGGCAGTGGCATCTAACACTTAAAGACAGGCAGATCTCTGTGAGTTCAAGGCCAGCCTGGTCTCAGAGTGAGTTCCAGGATAGGGCTGTTATGAAGAGAATCCCTGTCTCAAAGAAACACACACACACACACACAAGAACGGAGAGAGAGATCCTCTCCCACAAAAGAAAAATAAGTTAATTTAGACACTCAGAGAGCACCCTCCTTATCAATCCAAGTCAGGGCACTGCTAGTCCTTTAACATTCTGAACTAAGGAGTTTCTGATTTTCTAAAACTAAATCACACATGGCAGGTGTTGTTTATCAGGAAGCAGTGATTTATAACATGAATTTTATACCGATTAGTATTAGATTCCCATGAATTTTTCTAGCTTAGGAGAAGAAAAACACAAAGAATCATAGAAGGGAACAAGAATTATAGCCTGATGGTGGTAGTGGTACACTCCTTCAATACCAGCACACACACACACACACACACACACACACACACACACAGAGAGAGAGAGAGAGAGAGAGAGAGAGAGAGAGAGAGAGAGAGAATTATAGAGTGGTGGGAGAGGGGAGAGGTTTATTACATTTTAATGGAATTTGGACTGGAGAGATGGCTCAGCCCTTAAAGGCTAGACTCACAAACAAAAACTTTTTTTTTTTTTTTTTTGGTTTTTCGAGACAGGGTTTGTCCAGGAGGCTGTCCTGGAACTAGCTCTTGCAGACCAGGGTGGCCTACGAACTCACAGAGATCTGCCTGCTTCTGCCTCCCGAGTGCTGGGATTAAAGGAGTGTGCCACCAATGCCCGGCAACATTTTTTCAGAATGCAGGCACTACTTGCAATCAGTAAACAAAGCTGTGTGAAATTTTACTAATATGGGCTGGCAAGATGGCTCAGTATGAATAGGCACCTGCTGCCAAGCCTAATTACATGAGTTCAATCCCTGGGTCCCACAGGTTAGAAATAGAAAACAGACACCCAAAGTTGTCTTCGCATTTCCACATTGTTTCAGTGACATGTGTGCATCTGTCCCTCCCAAATAAATAAATAAAATGTGTTGTCTTTTTTTTTTTTTTTTAAGATGGCTCAGCAGCTAAGAGTACTAGCTTCCCTTCTAGAGGATTCAAATTTGGTTTGCAACACCCACATCAGACAATTCACAACCACCTGTAACTCCAGCTCCAAGGGATCCAACACACATGCATACACAAAAATAAAAATAACAACAGTGGGCACCGTGGAACACACCTTTAATCCCAGTACTAGGAAGGCAGAGGCAAGTGTGTATCTGTGAGTTTCAGGCCAGCCTGGTCTATGTAGCAAGTTCCAAACCACCGAAAGCTATATATAGTTAAGACCCTGTTCTCAAAAATAAAATAATCTTTAATTTTTCTCTTTGGAATTTCACTAATACTGATTTCATTTCTGCTAAATAAACAAAGAATAACATATACTGCATATCAGCATTAGTGAGTGGCCTGCTTAGGGAGTTTCAATACACACCCCCATCCCCTTACCCCCCCACCCCCGCCTGGCCTTGATGATTCCCTAGACCTGTGTGTGCGGCAGACACAGAAGGACTGAGATGGGCGCGGGGCGCTGTCTCATACCTCTGCGTAATGCTCCACTTGGGCCAGCTCCACTTCATCATCTCCTTCCCAGTCTCTCCAGTTATCAAAGTCCACAGAGAGCCACACGGGCTGCAAGAGGAGGCACAGGTGTCCCGGGCAGGAAGGACAGAAGCAAGAGTACATGGAAAGAGTCGGGACATGGGCCTAGTGGGAGGCCTCAGAGGGAGAGGTCAGTGGGGTACAGGCTTCCCACATGCACCCCTTTTGGCCAACCTGCCCCCCAGGCTGCATCCACAAATGTCCACCACCATCAGTGCCAAACATGATGCCAGGAACAGCAAGGTCTGAAAAAGCAGAGTTCTCTCCTCCAAGGGCTGCTGGACAGGGAACTCAAAGCCTCCTAGGACTCAACTAAGCAAGACAGGCAAGCTGCAGTCCCTAGAGTCGGAGGCAAACTTTGTTGTGGGATATTTGTACACCGTGTGAAAATGTATGGCTGTGATTGGTGTAATAAAAAGCTGAAAGGCCAATACCTAGACGGGAGGTATTGGCAGGACTTCAGAGCAGAGAGGGAACTCTGGGAAGAAGGTGGAGTCAAGGGCCAGCTGTGGAGGAAGCACTTCGGCAGTACAGAGAGATGAGGGTAATGAGCAATGGGACAGAACATAGATTAAAATAAATGGGTTAGGGCTGGAGAGATGGCTCAGAGGTTAAGAGCACTGACTGCTCTTCCAGAGGTCCTGAGTTCAATTCCCAGCAACCACATGGTGGCTCACAACCATCCCTTATGAGATCTTGTGCCCTGTTCTGGTGTGCAGACATACATGGAAGCAGAATGTTGTATACATAGTAAATAAATAAATAAATAAGAGGAAAAAATTTAAAAAAATAAAATAAATGGGTTAATTTAAGTTATAAGAGCTAGTGGGTCGGGAGGCAGAGGCAAGCAGATCTCTGTGAGTTCCAGACCAGCCTGGTCTATGAGAGCGAGTTCCAGCACAGCCTCCACAGCCACAGAGAAACCCTGCCTTGAAACCCTCCCCCCCAAAAAAAGAGCTAATTGAACAAGCCTAAACTAAGGCCGAGCTTTCATAATTAATAATAAGTCTCCATGTCATTATCTGTGAGCTAGTGGCCCAAAGAAAAATCTGACTACAAATGGCTAGGATCATATCCCAAAGTGCCCACATTTAAAGCCAGGTGTAATGCTGCAGATCTCTGTGAGTTCAAGACCAACCTGGTCTACAGACTGAGTTCTAGGACAACCTCCAAAGCCACACAGAGAAACCCTGTCTGGAAAAAACAAAACAAACAAACAAAAAAAGCCTGTCTCAAAAACAAAAAGAAAAACATGAACAAAAAACCAAACAAACAAAAAAACCCCACTTCCTCCAATGAACCCTGTTTGATGCAATCCAGACTAGGTGGAAATCTCAGAATATTTAGGACCCAGGTGACTCACTGAATGCTGACTTGAAGGAAGGCAAACCCAAATCCAGATGCAACTCTAGTGCCTGGGTACCCAGAGAGAGTGCACAGATAGAGCACAGAAGTAGCAGACCCCTCCCCACACACTCACCTTGATATCCTCCTTGGTGAGCCGCGGCCAAGCCACCTTCTCCTTCCATTTCCTCACAAAGCAAGTAATAGAGCGACCAGAGCGCTTATCCTGGGAGTCCTGTCAGACAGCTTCAGTCTTAGACACGGTTTTAGGGTAAACCCCCAGTTTCCTTGGCTTGGCCAGCCTTTCTGTGCAGACCTGACTATCCTTATCCTGCCCTCACCTTGGAGTTCACCTTGGCATAGAACTCAATCTCGTTGTACAGTTCCACTCCATCACCGTTCCTGCAGCTAAAGAAACAGTAAGGCTGGGGTATAGGACGAGTGAGAGACACCAGGCCCTTCCCGAGGGGAAGGCCACTACCTGAACACAACGCGGTGATCCTCGATGAGCACACTCACGTCGGTGCTGTCCTCAACACAAAACTCCATGAAAACATACTTGGGTCTGTCGTACCACAGGGTCCGGGCGTGCTGCCTGAAGAGGGCGGAGGTGGGGCTTGGAGGGGTGGGCAAGACTGAAGGCGATAAGGAGAGGCAGAGGGAGGAGACCACACGGTCGAATGTGGTGGCACCGAACCAGACGGAGGGGAGTGGGTGGCGTGGGTGGAAGGGCGAGAATGGATCCGGAAAGACAAGGGAAGTAGGAAGGTACGCTCAGTTCACACTACCCCTCTCTCTCATCCACAGTCACAGAGACCTGGAGTCCCGGGCTCCGATGGATCTGGGCAGAATCAGCAGCTTCTACAAGATGTGGGGCAGGGAATCTTCAGGGAGAGAAGGACAAGGGAGTAGGTTGTACGATGGTGGCCTGAAACTCACCGTTCCATGGTGGCTCCAGTTGCCCTGTGGCTTTTGGAGTCCCAGACAAGGGCCTCTATCTTTAGATCCTAGGGACGCCCCTGGCAGCTGCCTCTCCTTATATGGCAGGGGTGAGGAAGGGGAGGGTGGCTTGACAGCAAGAGTGATCTGCGCTCCAGAGGGACTCTGGGAGCGTTCACTGCACCCTTTCACCTCTCGGGGGTCTCCAGAAACATACGGATCAGGAGTACATTTACCCTCTACGATCAGGGAAAGGGCTACCCTAGACCCTATAGGCGGGAAATTACTTGTCCTCGTCCTCGTCCGTTTGTTCCTCCAACGCAAAGTACTCGTGTGTCTAATTCGCAGTAGGCACCAAAGTCGTCTCGAGGGGGCGGGCCCTCGGGAGACTGGAGGCGCGCAGGCCCCGCCCACCGCCCCTCCGGGCTTCCCGGCCGGCGCCCCGTTGTCATGGCAGCGAGGGGGCGCGACTGACGTGCGACGGCGTTTCCGGGAAGATGGCGGCCGTGGAAGCGGCTACGGAGCTGGGAACTGTGGTGACGGCCTTCGAGCCGAAGGCGAAGGACGAAGAGGAGGAAGACGAGGAGGAGGAGTCGCTGCCACCTTGCGAGGCAGTGCGCTGGGCCCCAGTGGGGGCGGTGGCCGAGGCCGGGCCCGGGGCGGCGG